CAACAGCCGATGCATGAAGATTTCAATTTTTGCTATGTAGGTACAGACCAATCGGCTAAGCCGACTAATCAAGTCGGCTCAGCCGACTACTCTTCTGCTGTGGTCAAATCGGCTAAGCCAACTGCCCTAGCCGACCAAGCCGACACCTCCAAATAGGCTAAGCCTACCGGCCCTGTTGGCTCAGCCGACTCCCCTGTGACCAGCCCGGTCAATTCGCCCGAGAAGCCATCAAATCGGCCCGATATAACTTCTAGTGATGTTGGGGCCGATTTAGAAGATTGGAGGACTCCCTTGTTGAGATATCTACGTGATCCAAGTGCCAAAATTAATAAAAAGTGTTCGGCGGAGTGTTTTCAAATATGTATTGTATAATGATGAGCTCTATTAAAGAACCACCGAAGATTTGTTGCTTAAGTGCTTGGGATCAGATCCGGCAAGAGTGGCTATGGGAGAAGTCCATGAAGTCATCTGTGGTATGCATCAATCGGCCCCGAAGATGAAGTGGTTATTGCGTAGAGCCGGATTCTATTGGCCTACTATGATGGCCGATTGTTTTCGCTACTACAAAGGTTGCGAAGAGTGCCAGAAGTTCGAAAATATTCATCTTGTGCCTGTTGCTGTGCTTCATCCTATCATCAAACCATGGCATTTTCGTGGTTGGGGGCTAGACTTCATTGGCTAAATATATTCCCCATCTTCAAAGAGACACCGATTTGTGTTAGTTGCTACGGATTACTTTACTAAGTGGACCGAGGGAGTTCCTTTGAAGAATATGACACACAAGAAAGTAATTGAGTTCATCACTGAGCATATTATTCATAGATTCGGCATCCCTCAAACGTTAACTACAGATCAAGAAACATTGTTTGTGTCCAAAAGAGGTGAGGGAATTTGCCGAATTATATAAGATCCAGTTGCTCAATTCATCTCCATACTATGATCAAGCCAATGGCCAAGCTGAGTCTAGTAATAAGACTTTGATCAAGCTCATCAAAAAGAAAATTGAGAAGAATCCAAGGAGATGGCATGAAGTTTTGTCTAAGGCTCTATGGGCACATCGCATTTCAAGGCATGATGCTATAAAGGTTACTCCTTTTGAGTTAGTATATGGTCAAGAGGCCGTGTTGCTTGTCGAAGTGAATTTGGATGCATACAGGCTTGCTAAACAAAATGATTTATCAGCTGTTGTGTATCATGATTTGATGGTGGATAATATCGATGAGGTGACTGATGTGAGATTAAAAGCTCTCAAGAAAATAGAGAAAGATAAAGCTCGAGTTGCCAAAGCATACAACAAGAAAGTCAGGAGCAAATCCTTCCAAGTGGGAGAATTGGTGTGAAAAACTATACTACCAATTGGATCGAAGAGCAATTAGTTTGGCAAGTGGTCACCAAATTGGGAAGGTCCTTACAAAGTGGTCAAAGTTGTATTAAAAAATTCATATGTGTTAGAGACATTGCAAGGTGAACGTCTCACGAGAGCATTCAACGAGAGATATTTGAAAGGGTACTTTCCAAGTGTTTGGCAAGAAGTCTAAGTGCTCTCCAAACAATGGCCGATACTTATATCGCCCTTAGAAAAAATGGCCGATGTATACATCGCCCTTAGTCACTAAGCAGCCGATGAGATGGGTATCGTCGCTGTTTGGTTTTGAATAAGTGTTTTCGGGTTCATGCATCATTCACCTGAAAACATGGAGCATATGTTGACAACCAAAAATGTCTATTTTGTGAAGTTGTTAAAATGTGAAATGGACTTCACCATTGCGTTCCTTTCGTCGAGACGGTCAAAAAACATATATGAAACGTCTAATTCGGAGTCCGGATGAAGAAGTTATGCACTCGGAAAGATGCCTCGTTGTCGGGAGTTCTGACCCAAGTCGGGACTTCTGACTGTCGGAAGTTCTGATGGGTGTTGGGACTTCCGAGAAGCCTAAAGAAATCTGCTCGGGTGTCTAGGGTTATCCCTACGTCGGAAGGTCTGACAAAAGTCAGAAGTTCCGACTGTCGGGAGTTCCGACCCAAGTCGGGACTTCTGACATACCTAACAGAAAATTCGAACTGTTCCAAACTCATGGGAAACTTGGAAAATAAGGCTTAGAGAGATTTTCTACTGGGATAAGACCACCCCCTCTGTATATATAAGAGGATCATGGCCGATTGAGTTCCTATCTATCCAATCGTCAAACAAATTAATCTACTACCTGTACTCCAACCCTTCTGTCATCTTCTCCAACCCCCATACTGTTCATCCCTTGATCCAACGACCAAGGATGGCACCGTAGGCTTGCCGACCGACCTAGGGCAACCCGACGACTTCCTTGCCCTGATGGGGTCCCTTCTGGGCGAGAGCTTTGATGGTTTCTTTGCTAGTTTGTCTGAAAACTAGCCGGTCCTTCGTCACGTAAGTACGTTGGTTATCCTTTGGTGGTTTGCTTATAAACCTCTCTGTTCTTCACCATGAAAGAGTGACAGCCTCGCTGTATTCTTCGGTCTGTAGCGGCCCGGACGTTTAGGCCCTGTTGGTGTCTGATTCGAATAACTTCTTACGTCAACCGTTCTCTTCCTATGATCCAATCAATCGTTTTCTAATTCCCTGGAATCTTGCTCATCAGGGGAATGGCCCTCTACGCCCCGTGTCCTCAACTCCTCACGTGGAGAAAAATATTTCCGTCCTTGTGTCTGTGAGAGTTTGCAGGGAAGCTTCCCCCGACATCATGCATCTCTTAAGGCCTCTTTGGCAGGGCTCCGGCGGTTCCGGCTCCCGCCCCTGTCAGCCGCCCACGGGCCGATAGGTGCCAGGGGGAGCCGGAGCCAGAGCCGCGGAGCTCGAAAAACGAGCTTCTACGGCTTCGGCGGTGTCCGTGAAAGAGGAAAGGAGGAGACAGAAAAACGTCTGTAGTGAACAGTAGCGCCTGTCGGTCCGTGGGCGGCCGAATAGCCCGTTAGTTTCCTCCGAGGACTATTAAACCCTGCCACTGCCATGGATACGAAAACACGTGGGTGCAGTGTGCAGTCCGTGCTGAAGCGGGTTCAACACGTCATGTGAAAGGTAGAAGACTTTTTGGTTGGGTAAATCCACGGTGCATGAACCATGCATATGCATGCGCGCGTACGGCGTCTTTGTGCACCGTGAGTGTGGGTAGTGAGAACTGAGTACGTACGTACGTGTGCCCGTCCTAGTTGTGCCAGAAAACACTGCATTTGCCAAACTTTGCTCGTCTCATCGTCTGGTGTGTCGTACTACATCACTGTTGAGTTCTCGAGCGGCCGGTTTTGGGTTTGGCATGCACATGGCTATGGACACATGGACATGGTACGTGGTGATGCGAAAGCAGCAGGCCAAAAGAGTGGCTGTGCTTGCGCAAGTACCAGCGCCACCAGTCGGCACGGCAGTAGTCACAGTTGACAGCAGGAGCGACGACACAAGAGAGGCTGTGCGTCAGTGCATGTACGGTGGTCGATGTGCATGAGGAAGGATGGCACCAACACAGCACGAGGCTGTACTCTGTTCTTCACCAACAGGCAAACAGGCCTGGCCGGTTGCATTGCATCGGCCTCTCACTTTCTTTCTTTCTTTCTGATGATGATGATCTGATCGATCCTAATCCTATACATCTTGCGCATCATCTTGCTGCTGCCTTCTTCGCTTTGCCTGTAGCGTCACATGCCATTGCCTGATGAAGAAGAAACGGTCATGTGTGGATGATGCTGCAGACAAGAGAGACGTACGTACGTACTACTATCTAGAGACTGAGAGAGAGGCCCAATTCGACGTGGCCATTGTAGCTTGCATCGGTGAGCTAGCGTGCGTGCATGATACAGCAATCATGGTTTACGCAATGTTGCATTAGATCATCGATCCCATCATTCCCCCGACACACCGGCCCTGCTAACTGCGTTCTTTGTTCTCTTCCTATGATCCAATCAATCGTTTTCTAATTCCCTGACATCTTGCTCATCAGGGGAATGGCCCTCTACGCCCCTTTTCCTCAACTCCTCACGTGGAGAAAAATATTTCCGTCCTTGTCTCTGTGAGAGTTTGCAGGGAAGCTTTTTTTCCCCCAACACCGTCCTAGTACAGAGAATTAATCCCCACGAGAATCCCCGCTCTCGTATTAGTACATCATATTCATATATGATGGTTTTAAGTTTAATTAATAACAACTATTAGTGTATACTATATGACTATATTAATAACTGAGTACAAACAATTTTTAAATAAATAAATAGCAAGCAAGGCCACAATAATAATGCTTAGTAAAAATGCTAACTTGATGAACCATATCACATACATATATTTAGCACGCATGTTGACAACATGCAAGTCGATGTATGCCGAAGGTGCTTTTTTAGACATGTGCGTACAGCACGTGCATGTCCACTAGTGTTTACCAAAAGGCTTAATTATGTGTATACGGAGCGGGTATATGAGAAACTGGGACGAGGGATGGGGAAAACATCCCCGTACCTGCGAGACCCTTCAGGTTGACATGTCTAGCATTTGAGATCCCCATGGAGGATAAAATAGCTCCATCCCTGTCCTGTAATAATAGAGAAAAAATTTCACGGGTAACCGGAGATCGGGGCATGACATTTGTACGGAGGTGTACTTAACGCCAACCTGTCCAAACCAAGATAGATTCCGATCGTCTTTCCCTCACAAAAACAACTGCCTCTGGTCGACGCCGTGGTCAAGTAAGATGATTTGACCAAGCTCCACAACTCAGACATGGATGCATGCCAACATATATAATATTATCCTGCCTGCCTGCCGATTAAAGCAGCCACAGGTACGCAAGCAGTGACCACATCGATCGACCATCAACCACTCCGAATGGTCCAAGTAATAATAATTTACCCCAGCTAGCTTTGACTTTAATTTGACTCACCACCTGTATAATTAACCCACTCCAACTCTCTCCTTCGATGCTTAATTCCTTAACCCCAGATTGCACGTACGTACTGATTCCAACGAACTTGACGCCAGCTTCAATTCCATGGCGGCGGCGGCAGCGGTGGAGGTGACGGTCGTCGACTTCTGGTGCAACGAGTTCGGGATGCGGGCGCGGCTGGCGCTGCGCGAGAAGCGCGTCCCCTTCGAGTTCGTCGAGGAGGACCTCCGCGTCCGCGAGCGCAGCGACCTGGTGCGCCGCATGAACCCCGTCCACCGCGCCATCCCGATCCTCATCCACGCCGGCCGCCCAGTCTGCGGCTCCCTCAACATCGTCGAGTACGTCGACGAGGTCTGGAGCAAGACCCCTCGCCTGCTACCCGCCGACCCGCTCGAGAGGGCCAACGCCAGGTTCTGGGCCGACTTCGTGGACCAAAAGGTAACGAGATCGAGTGGACCGGGCCTCCGGCCGGTGTTGAAACGACTCCATTTATTTGGGCCTTGCATGCGTGCCAATTTATTAACCTCTCACGCAACAGGTGTACGACGCGCAGGCGAGGTTCTTCACCAGCCGCGGCGAGGAGAAGGCGGCGGCCATGGCGGAGCTCCTGGGCCACCTCCGGCGGCTGGAGGAGGTGCTCAGGGACAGGCCGTTCTTCGGTGGCGACGAGTTCGGGTTCCTGGACGTCGCGCTCGTGCCGTTCTCGGCCATGTTCTATGGGTACGAGCGGCACGGAGGGGTGGACATGGAGGCGGAGTGCCCGGTGCTGCTGCGCTGGGTGCGGAGGTGTGGCGAGAGGGAGAGCGTCCGAGACGTGCTTCCGTCGGGGCAGGACATGTACGCCATACACAAGGAGTTCTATCAAATTGAGTGAACACAACAGTCAACAGTCACTACGACACACAGGATGGGTAGGGGTGGCTCAAGACCATTTGTATGAGCGGTTTGACTAGCCGCCTCTAACAAATCGTCTCTACAAATCATACATTTATAAACCGTCCCTACAAATCGATTTGTAGGAGCGGTTCAATCTAGAACCATCCCTACAGTATATTTTGCCGTAAAAAAAATTCAAATTTAAATTTACAGTATGCATATATATAATTCGAGATCGGCTAATCAATCAATCTATTACGTGCACGCGCATCTCCTTCCTCCCCGAGCCCCCCCGCGATCGAGACCACACACGTCGCCTGCGACGTGAGAGGAAAGGAAAGCACAAGCAAAAGGCAGGGAAGGGCACGGCAGGGAGCACAACTAGCCGACACGTACTTTGCTCCAAAGTACAAGTCCAAGAGTACAAGAGTATTATATAAACTACAATTACAAGTCTAATTCATAAGAATATATACAAGACCAATATAAACTACAATTACAAGACAGCTAACATCTATAAACCATAGTACGCGAGATGGTATAAGAAATCAAAAAGGTCTATAAACCAAAGTAGTCATATAAAACAATAATTTATCAGAAAAACGAGTAGTAGCAGTAGTAGAGGCCTCAGAAACATGTCAATCATCATTTGATTATGAACTTAGAGCATCAAGACATCATAACAGAGAAGAGAGGAGAAGGTAACGTAGGGGCGACTGCTAATGATGCCAAGTTCCTCACAAGTTCTTGATCATCAGCTCATATTCCATATAATGTATGGACTTGGACAATTTCATCATCGGCAAAACAAAGGAAATGAGGGGAGATGTGAGATTTGGCAAAAAAAAACAACAACAGCTGCTTAGCAAACATAGAGCAGCAGCTGATGGCAAAAAACAGCTAACATCTATTTCAGCTGCAAATGACAAGGTATAAGAGGGGTGAGTGTTTAGCAAAAGACAGCTAACATCTACTAAACACAAGATTAGCACAAACAGCTGAAATATATATGTATATTAAACAATCTACTAAACAATGGTATATCACCAAGTATAGAAATAATATGGGTAACCAAAGTTATTTGAATATATGGCATGTATACTGTCAAGTATAGAAAAATATCATGTATACTGCCAAATATAGAAAAATTTATACTCTAAGCAAATAATATCATGTATCCTGTCAAGTATAGAAAAATAGACACATGAAGCTACTGCCTACTAAACTATAGAATCAGTCATATACCAAGAAACTGCAGCCCGGGGTTGCTTTAGAGCAAATGACGTCTCACAAAGATCATCAAAATTAAAATTTGACATTACTAGTACTCATGTTCAGAAGCCGCAGAAGCTAGCTGCTATGGATTGCAGTGTGTATGAATGAAGCAACAAGCAGGCAAGGAAGCAAGTAAACACAGTCGGTGCTTGCAAGTGAAGCAACAAGCAGGCAAGCAAGCAAATGACATGGTATAAGAGGGGTCAGTGTTTAGCAAAAGACAGCTAACATCTACTAAACACAAGATTAGCACAGACAACTAAAATATATATGTATATTAAACAATCTACTAAACAATATATGTACATTAAATAATCTACTAAACAATGGTATACTACCAAGTATAGAAATAATATGGGTAACCAAAGTTATGTGAATATATGCCATGTATACTGCCAAGTATAGAAAAATATCATGTATACTGCCAAGTATAGAAAAATTATTGATTCTATATATCCAACAAAAAAATAATATGGGTAACCAAAGTTGTGTGAATATATGCCATGTATACTGCCAAGTATAGAAAAATATCATGTATACTGCCAAGTATAGAAAAATTTATACTCTAAGCAAATAATATCATGTATACTGCCAAGTATAGAAAAATAGACACATGAAGCTACTGCCTACCAAACTAAAGAATCAGTCATATACCAAGAAACTATGGCCCGGGGTTGCTTTAGAGCAAATGACGTCTCATAAAGATCATCAAAATTAAAATTTGATACTACTAGTACTCATGTTCAGAAGCCGCAGAAGCTAGCTGCTATGGATTGTAGTGTGTATGAATGAAGCAACAAGCAGGCAAGCAAGCAAGCAAACATAGTCGATGCTTGCAGGTGAAGCAACAAGCAGGCAAGCAAGCAAACACAGTCGATGCAAACACAATCTTGATGATGCTGCATCAGTAGACACTCACTCATCACCCGGCCCCCAAGAGTGAGAGACGAATGAATCAACTAGCTGGTACAATAAATTTGCCTCAGATTTAATTGCCTTTTCATTTGACCTTGAACTTAGAGCTTAAGAAACATAGACAGAAATAAACCTCAAATAGATAGTAGAAAACCAAGATCATGACAGGCATGAAACCATGAGAGACATCCAGCCCAGCCATTAGATTATCACAACCGTCCAGCTATTGCTTGGGCATGGATGTCTCACATGGTTTGATGACAGCCATGAGAAGCATAAGCAGAAGATAGAAGAAACAATGCTCCAGTACCTCACAAGTCCAAGGTAATCAATGTGCATAATCCATTACTCAACTGGCACTGTTATCTTCATAGGCATGAGAAGGATCTCACAATTGTATCAGCCTCAGTCAAAAATGGTTGACATCATAGGCATAAAAAAATGCAGGCCTCAGCTAACTGCAAACTAACTTATGATCATCTTGCAAACTAACTGCAATCATCCCAGATGACAAATAAGAACACAAATTGTTGAGGCAAATTCATGGCTCCTATTAAAGCGTGGGACATGTCTATCCTAGCCATCAAGTAGGCATGCCTACAACAGTTGCTTTGGAATGGACATATCCCATGGTTTGATGACAGACATGAGAAAACACAAGAAGGCAAAAAAGCACCAACAGAAAGAATACCCACAGCCACCTCAGATTGCTATAGTTTGCATCATCGGCCAAATGATGCGAGTAGGGCAACCAAACACAGACGAACGCACCAAAGGATACGGGATGGGCCATATGACGGTCTGGTTCGGACAACCAATCACACCCTACATCCACAAGATATGATGTATGGCTGTCCATTATTATTGTTACAAAGTTTCAGCATCTCCTAGCACACGGTGTTTTTAAAAAAATTGCGAAAAAGCTAGACCACAGTTCTAAAATACAACACACACTTTATCCCCATATATATAACAAATTAAAAGCCTCAAACTAGGAACTGCAAATAGACTATGATGCTTTTTTATTTTAGTGATAACTACGAAGTGTGATGATGAAATAAGGAACTCCAATGAAACTCTGCATGAATTAATCAACCCTGCATTTAGCATTTCAGGGAACAGTATTTGCAGTCTTCAAGTTAAGAGAGCTACAATTAGCAGATGAGGACATATATATATATGTATGTGTGTGTGTGTGATTTATGCATATTTACTTATCATCTGCGCACTGCCCTAGGCATATATACAACATGGTGCCATAAATTTAGGACATATATTTGGAATTTGGATCATTAGTGTTAATAATAGTTAGCAGCTATAATTAGCAGATGAGGATCCAAACATTTACTCTAGCAGTTCATTGGCTGGTGGCGAGGTGCTAACATGTGTTAATGGTTTATTTGCACATCCAACCATCTATCAACCACGACACAGCCCACAAATGAATCCAAAAACATGCTAAATCAGAAGCGATGTGGCCAAAGAAGCAGCAACACTACTCAATAAAACCTGAAGAAATCAAGCAGCCTCAGCTGCTGTAGTTGTGGTAGAAGTGCAGTCGAGCAGAGCCTCTAATAGTCTATTTGATCTCCACAAGCTACCAGGAAAATAATATCAAACCATGAAACACTAATATTAGAGCCTCTAATAGCCACTCCCGGCATCACGTGCTATGGACCCCCAATAGAGAATACTCCTATAACTAATATCAGACCGTGAAACACTAATCTCTCATAGAGTCAAACAAGGAGGCTTCAAACATCAGATCATCAAGATTTACACTCTTATTGTTTGGAATTAAACCAATCTACTACCTTTAGCACAAGCCATTTGGACATCATTTTTTCTGATAATACCATTGTTGTTGTTTTTGTTAGAGTACTCAACTGGATGGAGTGTAGGTAAACACAAATTTGTCAGAAGTGGCCAGTCAGACCAAAATTTATTAAATCTGTGCAACTCAAGTTTGAAAAAAATTAATTCTTTTTTCTCTTACAGCAAATCCTAGCTATGGCTAACCATTTTGGTACTATACTAGTTGTGATCAGCATTCAGCAGGAAACCGACCAGAGCAAGCAGGGAGAGGACGGAATCAATCAGGTACCTGCTGTCCTGGTCGAGGGAGGGATGCTGTGGCTCGACGGAAGACTTGAGGAGGCGGCTCAGCGCACCACAGCGCCACCACCGGTAGTGCCACGCGCACCACAACGTCGGAAACCCTAGCCGTCGTGGGAGGGGGAATGGCGTCGGAAACCCTAGCCGCCGGGGGAAACGGCGGCGCGCAGGGCAGGAGACGGACCTGGGGTTGGAGGCGGATCGGGGGAGGTAGGGCGCGGCAGAGGTAGAGCACGGAGGTGGCGGAGATAGGGCATAGAGGCTTCGCCCATGGCTAGGGTTCCGCAGTGGGTCCCAGCGACGGGCGGAGCCAAGGAAGCTCGGGGAGGAATGCCAGAGCGCACGGGCCAGCGGAGGTGAGAGGAAGTGGTGCTACGGCACGGAGACGGTGGCATCGACGACAGGTTCGGTAGCCTGACGGCGTCCGCAAGGAAGAAGAGAACGCCCTGACTTAGAAAATTTTTGGCCTCCGGTGGGCTCTGGTATATATACCGGCGGTCATTTGTAGGGGCGGCTCCTGAGTTAGCCTCCCCTACAAATAGATTTCTAAGGGCGGTTCCTGAGTTAACGGCCTCTACAAATATTTTTTAATTTATTTTAATTACTAATTCTGTAATTTATTTTAATTTATATATTAGGTTTTTATTATTCTATATATATAAATATATGTATATAAAAACAATTTTATTATAT